TTTATGCAATCATATTAATTGAGAACCAAGGCGGAACCCCTTTGGGGCATAGGGGCAGATTTGCACCCCCTTCAAAAAAAAAAAAAGAAAAATATATATAATATATATATAATATATTATTATAGTAATTATGACGTCATTAGGTGGTTTTTAGTCTATTAGTAGGGTTTGTTTGAGCAAGTCCCCCTAAAATATAACATGTAGTTGTAGCAATGCCCCCAAATAATTGAAAGAACATGGTGAGATTGCAGTGGAGTGGAATGAGGAAACCAAATACAAAGAGATAAGTAGCTAAAAGTCAAAAGTGTTCCATAACAAAGAAAAATGGTAATTAAAGTAAAAGTGACGAACCGGCCCAGGGCCTGCCCCGTGAACCCCAGACAAAGTAGTGCAACAGGTACGGAAAGGTTGGCCCCCCTAAAAAATGATGATTGGTTCCGCCCCTGAGTGGAAAACTCACAACTTTAACTTGAATTAACAGCCGTCATTTATTTTATTTGAGCTAATAAGATTATTTTTCAACATAGAGAAAAGTTCATTAAGCAATGAACTTATCTTACAAACATGAAAATCCAATTAATCAGTTCTTCTATGATCATATGATATAAAAAAATAAAATAAAATCGTACTCATAGTAATTTCAAAATGAACATCTCATTAGATGTATCACAAATCAATTACCTTTGCATGTCTTCACAAAAACATCATCCACCATTCAACTTTAATATTATTATTTAATTTGATTGAAAGTCTCAGTCAACAAATAATGAAAACTAGGTAAAAGAAAAGACGTGTGAGAAACACCTATCCTTGACAATATATATTGCTTCCCATAATATTAGCCATTTAATGTGTGGTTATGGTTAAGATGATGCCTAAGTGGTAAATGTAGCATGTATTTGTTGTTACATGCTTCAGAATACGAGTTGGCATGATGGATTAGGTATAGACGCTTATAAACTATCATCAGTAAGAATTCATCTACTTGAAAAGACAATTGTGGTAAAGTTCCTTAGATTAATTTCTAATAACTGCGTCTAATATAACAAACATGATTGAACAAGTCTCAGAAGTGATAAGGCAAACCATTGATTTAGCTACAAGATGATTTATCATGTTCCAATTTTATTCATCTTTGAGTATTGTGCACTTTTAGCTCTATGTTACACTCCTCCCTCGGAGCTAGCAGAGCGCATTGGCCCATTATCATGCTAGTGTTGTGCATGCTTCTCCACTTGCGGGACTTCTGCACATACTCCAGACTGCACTGATTTTGTTCGCAGCGCTCATGTCAATTCCCATTATGGTGTTGGCTCTACAGCACCCTAGATGTGTCAGATGGCTTGCCTTTGATAATTATATATGTTGATCCTACCAGACATTAAACTCTCTCAATCCTCAGGCTCGATCTTCCATACAATTCCATCACATACTAATCACAACTACCCTTTCGTGTCTAAGTTGTAAGCTTTCATGGGAAATTACAGCTCCTAGAAACCCTATATGTTACTCCTTTGCCTGATTCCTCACAACATTTTTCTTAAAGTATTAAGTAAAAATTAGGATCATGGTCTTCTGCCAACTCTGTCTTTTTTTACCCCCATTTTAAGCTTATACATGCAGTTCCATCACTAACTACCATCTTTCTAGGTAAACATTCTTCACATTTATTGATTAAAGGATCATTAGTTAGCTCACCTTTCTCCCTCTCCTTGGTGCAGTTTTTATTGTGCCAGTCTAAGTATGGAGTTTTAGAGATTCATGGCTAATTTGCGTTATGGCAAGGAATCACAATTGCCTTAAGATTCTCATCATGTCTAAGCATCCCTAGGAATTTGTTTACAAAGACTATTCTCTCTAGATAGAACAAATATGTGGTAAGGCGTTCGCAATATGATGCTTAATTGGAACATCTAATGTCATTGTCTAGTTTGGTAGTGCAAGTTTATTTCGATTGCAAAAAAAAATTGTATCAGCTCTAATGTGAGACACGAGATCAAACGGCCACGATCTTGATATTATAATGTTATGTACCAGTTTTATTTTAATATTCTTTTTTTCCCTTTAATACCTTAGGGTGGTCATGTAGTATTACTCCGAAAGGCATTTACAGCTTTTATTTCTTCTTTTAATGAGGCCATTAAGGCTAGTTGTTTGTATTTTTGATGCGTATGAATGAATTAAAATTTTGATGCTACTTGTGATCCTTGGGAGTCATGAGAGGAGGACCAAGAGCGAAACGAATACCCACTCATCTTGATGGATTCCAGGTCGCCGTTCTTCAATTTCTCTTTTCTTTTTATTTTCTCTTGTGTGATCTTCCTCCCGTAACCCTTCTGCTGCCTTCCCTCCAACCCCACATCCCTCTGCTCCACAAAACCAAGCCCCTGCCACTTTGCCGCCAGCCTCCTGGGCCGCCAGCGCGATCGATATCTCGCACCACCCGCGGCGGCATCTAACCGCCGGCCACCAACGCCTCAGCTCTGTCCGACCCATCTTCCCCCAAGCCTAAGCTATGAAATTAAAATTTCCAAAGGGCATTAATGGCTTCCTAAATTAAGTCAAGAAATTAGAAAGTTACAATTCAAATTTTAAATTCAAAAAAGCTTTCTAAGAATACTATAACTTATTTTGGAAACCTCTCTTTGAAATAAAGATATGAATTTTAATTCAGATTTCTTATGCTTGAATAATGGTAGGGCCCCAAAACGCTTAATTAAACCCTAATCCTCTCTTCCCTCTCTATTTTGTCGGCCCCCTCATTGGGCTATCTCTCTGTATTGCATTAATTCTCAGCCAATACTCTCCCCATAAAATACCTCATAAACCGCCGCCCCTCCCATATGGAATTTATTGATTTCAAATTAATTCCCGCCATTCCACTCCTTAATTAGAATCAAATTCCGATTTCTTAATTTATCCCAATCCCCATAAACCCCTCCCCCTTTCTTATTCTTTTCCCCATGAATAGGTCTCTCCTAATCGAACTCCTTAATTTGAATCCAATCAATTCATATTGGATTTGACTTATTCCAATCAGCCCTGACAGAGTATTACTGGGAAAGGAAATACTTCGTTCCTTGCAGCCCTAGCCGTCCCCTTGCCCAACGCTCTTCTAGTAGGGGATTCCTGATGCGCCCTGGAATTACAGCCGCATAATCCTGCTGCTCTGCTCCCCAGTAGGCCCATTGACTGCCAAGACTCCTCTGACGGGACAAACTGCTGTCCATCACCTTAGTTCTGTTAAGACTGTGTTGGAAGTATCTGAAGGCCAAAAGGTTCTCAACCAACACTTTTCTGATGCCTCCACGTCTCCAGTTGCTGCTCCAATCATTTGGGTGCCATATTCCGGCTGCCCTGCGTCCAAGAAATCCAATGATCACCATCCTAAATGGGCTCCAAGCCTTACTTGCTGATTACTCTTCATCCATTGCCCTTTTGGTGATCCAAACCGGAGCTGTCGTATTCTCTAATTATTGGGAAACTCTCCCCCAAAGCATAATCTCTTAGTACTTTTCAATTTGTGGTTAGTAATGATTCATGAAGATCTCACACTCTCTCGTAAACCCTCTTAACTAGGATAAGTTGAGCTGAGGATTCTTCCTGAGTGACTAGTCTAGGTTAGTTAGATTTCTTGTTGAAGTTGAAACCACTCATGCATGCATAACATAGATTAAGTCTTTTTTTTATTCCTTAATCTTACATGTGGTTAGCCTAACATAAAATATATTACCGCTCTTTTGTTTTATTGCGTCGTTTTAAATTCACCATTAAGATAATAATTATTTGTTCTAGGAATATTAACGTGGCAAATTTTCATAACTCATCTCACAGTTTGTTCTACATCATCTGTATTGGGCATCGAAGCAACAGTATTACATGGGCTAGAAATTCCTAGGAGTCTAAGATTAACCTTTCTTAAGCTTGTTGCATGGCATTATCACGCATAGAATTATCACTGTTTATCTTGCTGCCCTCTAAATTCCTGCACCGTTACATCACTTAATTAAGCTATGTCATTTTAAGCTGCTGTCCTTGTCGCCAATAACATCCTCATGTCTAGGCTACTTAAACATCATCATGGCTTGGCCAGAAAATTTCTGCAGCATTTAGAGATTGTGACCTAACCTTGGTAGGCTCGTCACACTTTAGAAACCTTCCAAACACTTAGAACTTAATCCATTAGGTGTTTGTGTCCAAACTTTCTCTCCACCTAGTGACCTGTATGTAAGTTCCTAAAACCTGCTTTTAGTGTGTCTCCTATCTAATTCATCCCTAAGGTTTCCAATCATTCCAATACCGCATAAGACTTCCAAATAAGTTTAGAATGACATCCTTAAACCGAGTGGCCTATGACTAGAATTATGAGAGGAAACCTGTTGACTCTCCTATCTAGAATTATGATGGAGCACAGCGTACCTGCAAGAATGAGAATGCATTGGTGCCCTCCTACATGCACCTAAAACCACTCTCCAACACGAGCATCTTTGCTGGTTGATGAGATGGCATATTGGAGACCAGCAATCAAAGAATCCACCCCCCGCAAGCAAGTGCAATCAAACAAAACCACCGAGATGGTGAAAGGATGTGATGCAAGAAACGAGGTCCCCTACGAACATTCCTAGAGCTCTAGCAAACACAACGGATCCTTACAACAACAAATACGAGCCGCGTGTGGTATAACAACAATGTATTATTCGTAACCCAATCAACCACTTGGCACAATGTACAAGTATTCTCCTACGACGATACCCTACAAGAGGTCAAATCAACTAAAACCCCTGGTTCAATTCCGGTCGAACTACTGAATGTGCAAATTTCTCTTCTATGCTAAAGGTGGTAAGATAAAAGGTGACAAGATAAGATTTCAATCAATAACATTAGCTTTAAGATTTTAGCTGAAACTCTACTTTTAATGCCCTAGAAAGCATTTGATCATAGATTTCTGTTACTGATGTTCAATTTTTTCTTTTCTGTTATGTATTGAACATTATGATCAGATGGAAAAAGCAAAGATTTGTTGACCATGAAACAAGAGGAAGCAGAGTGGATAGAATATCAAAATGTGACTGATGACGTAATCATGAAGAGTGGGTTGGATAAGAAAGTTTTCTATGATCTTAGGGGAAATCATGATAGCTTTGGGGTGCCAGAAGTTGGTGGTGAATATGATCTTTACCGAAAGTATAGTATCAATGCACGACTAAGAAGAGATGGAAATGTCCAGAGTGTCACTTTACAGGTAGTCATTCAATTCTGACTATGGACGTCGAAACAGTTTGTTCATATGTACGTTTTTATGCCAAGTATTTTAATAAGACCATGAACCTAAAATAAAGCAGAATCTCTGTTTTTTCCCCTCTCAGACACGAAAACCCTCATATTTATTAGGTTTTATTTATCATAATGAGATAGCAATAACATTACTGTCTGCACTTTATTCTGAGAACCAAAGTCGAAATAAACATGAGTGTTAAATTTCACTTTTTTGGGGGATTTACATTCATACAACTTTATTTTATGTTATTTATATATCTAACCCCCAAAACATTAATATTACATGCCTGCCACTCATAGAACAAATTTGAATGCATGGAATGAAATATTAAAGTTTATAGGATGATATGAATGATACAAATGAATTATAGGAGTGGTATATTTGATATTAAAGTTGTATATGAGTGGTAGACATGTAATATTAATATTTTGGGTGTTAGATATATAAATTGCATGAAATAAAGTGGTATGTATGTAAATTTCACTTAGAAATATTATACCTACTTGAATCACCTTGCTCTCTAGTCCTTTCAGACCAGCATCATGTTTGTATGGTACTCTGAGTCTAAGTTGTATATAAAATGCAGTACAGGGGAAGGAAACACGTTTTTGTTGGAGTTGATAGCTTCATGGAAATTGGTCTTCGTGGTCCTACGAATCTATTTGGGCATCCAACTGACGAGTTGCTTTCTGATTTAGACATGGAACTTGGTCAATGGGATGCTGGATCCACAGAGTCTGTAACAAAAATCGCATTTGGGCATTTTCCCTTGTCATTTACAGCAACAACAGATAAAGGGAAAAATGTCAAAGATGTGTTCCTTAAGCATTCCTTATCAGCTTACCTTTGCGGTCATCTCCACACTAGGTTTGGCAAAAACCTAAAGCGCCATCATGTTGAGTCAAGTGGGACATATTATCAGTTTAACATGCACCAAGGAAATCCTAGTGATAAGAGTAACGAAAATTGTTCCAAAAATGCTGAATCCTCTAAGGAGTTTTGGGAGTGGGAGATGGGTGATTGGAGGAAAAGCAGAAGCCTGAGGATTGTTGCCATTGATTCTGGTCATGTTTCTTTTTTAGATCTAGATTATCAGTTGGGATCCAAGGATACAATCGTCTTACCAACATTTCCTTTGGACTCTAGATATATGCATAGAATTTCAACATCTCGTGATTTCCAATGTCCATCGACAGGAACCTCTTCACATGAAACAGTGAGAGCCCTTGTTTTCTCAAGAAGAATGATCGTTTCGGTTTCACTGAAAATATATGACTCCAGGTCTGGCCATTTTCATTTGGTGCTAGATCAAGCGATGATAAAGCTTAAAAGTAATGGAAGTAGGGGAGACATGTATGTGGCTCCATGGAATTGGAGAGCTTTTATAGACCCATCCCCAGATCGTTTTTTGCTTCAAATTGAAGCAACTGACATTTCAGGGAAACTTACTTATAGCCAGCCAAGGCCATTCTCGATCAATGGCCTCACTGCAGAAGCCAATTGGAAGTGGAAAGAATTTTTTGTGATGGGTGTTCAATGGGCTGCTCTTTATGAACCTCTTTTGCATATTCTCCATTCACTTCTCTTCATACTGCTTGTCGTTCCACGAGTTTTTCTCATTTTCTCTAAAAATTATACTGCTTACAATAAGAATAACCTTTCCCGTGGTAGCAGAGAGAAGAGGATCTGTTTAAGTTTCGTTGATACAGGAATTTTTGTTTTGGTGGAGCTTTGCCGATTGATAGAAATATGGTGGGGAATTCTTTTATATCTACTCTACCTGGTGTTTTTGCCTTGGTTCTTTGGCCATGTGTCCTCTGAAGATGGGAAGATCTCCTACATGACCCAAAGAGGATGGTCGGTTTCTTCTTCCAAGAATGGAAGTCAAAATACTTATATTGGCGTGCCAGATATCATGGTGATTGTTCTACCTCACCTTGGTTTTGTTGTTTTACCGACATTTATTATTGTAGCTGCGTTGGCTGCAGAAAGAACAGCATACCGTTCACATTTACACTCACTTTCTGGTAAGAAGGAAGATGATCATTACAAAGAGAGGAAGAGATATGTAATAAGAAGGTTCTCAGATGCATTTGGATTTTGGAGTGTGCGTTGGATGAGGAAATTATTATTATTCATCTCTTTGCTGATCTTATGGAAACACTGGAAGGTATAAAAGTTTTATTATTTACTATGAATAAAATTAATGTTCTTTTATGTGATAATATCTAAACTTTATTACCATTTATTTGCATTTAAGGTAAATAGTTAATCTTTTGTAGGTGCCTAGCTAATTTTCTGCTTATTTAGTGTTTGTTGAATGAATCAAAAAGAAAATATGGATTGTATTATTATAAACTAGGATTTTTAAATTGTCAAATAGACTGATATAGTTGGCTAATTCGAAGGATGTTATGAAATTTGAATACATATAGTAGCTGGGTTTTGTTAGGAATAGAAGTTACCATCCTGTATTTCTTAGTCATTTCCAAGTTGCAATTTATATACCTTATTGTTATGCCTTGCAAGCTTTGTTGGATTGTTCTTGTACTTACAATCTATATTCACCTTATGTTACAGCAATGCAGAGCCATCGTGAAGCAATGACATGAATCCATTCCTTCATCTCCCCG